TAAAATCATTAATGCTTTCTTAAAAACACATAAATCGTATTATAACATCAACAAAGACAAATAATAAAATAGAACATTAAAATCGATATGTATCTCACTGCATTACACGAGTACTCTTCTAATAATAAAGAATTGAATTAAATAAGTTACACCAAAAAACGATAACTATTAAATAGTTAATTTGATATTAATATCGATTTTATTATTTTCAAACTTTTATGTTATCTTTAAATTTATATTTCATTCAAATAATAAAAACATTATCGTTTTCTCAAAACCACATAAAATTGTATCATATCGATAGAGACAAAGAATAAAAGGTAGACTTTAGAATGAAGATTTATCTCGCTGCATTGCACGAATACCCTTCTAATATTTTATAATATAGTATAGATACTCTAAAATATTTGATGCTAAATACAATATTTAGTAAATAATTATTTTTATTGACTTTTGGTCAATCACACGTTTTATCTCCCTCCTCTATACCCCCTAAGTTTTTGTACTTGTTTAATTTTAGTACCAAAACTTTCATTTTTCTCACAATTATCTATGAATATTAAAGGTAAGAGACATCAAATATTATACGTGTATAGAATGGTTTGTTTTTCAGTATTTAAAAGAAGCTATTTCAGAATGGTAACACATTACTGCAAACATGATTGTACAATCAAATATTGTAGCTAGTAGTTTTAATCTTGATTTTATGCTAACCAGAATGATAATTGTGTGTGTCATGCTGATTACTTCTCTTCTTCAACAATCTAAGATGACCCTAGTTTTACATTGAAACACGGATGCAATTCCATTATATGGATACCCGATAAAAAAATAATACTTTTCTTACTAGGCTTGCTAAGATCGTAAAGACTTATTGAAGATGACTTAGGTATATTGAATTGAACTTCTATGCTTATACATTATGTCACTAAATAGAATGTGCCTATACCGATGCCCAATCTTAATAATATAGTTAATGGGACTTTAAACTTATTGAACAAACAATTGTGGGCCATATATGAAGGTGTTGCAATAAGTTGTTTAACGAAATCAGATAATAAGTTCTAGCCTTACTTTCTTGTTACAAAGTTCAACAACCTAATAGAGCATAAGTAAATCGTCCTATTAAACAAAGTTCGGCAAACTAATTAGACAAAGTTCGGCAAACTAATTAGACAAAGTCTGGCAACCACAACTAGTGCTACTACCATGACTTATGACTAAGACTGCTACTACCTCCACCACCACAACTACGATCACTACTATTCTTGCTACTACTCATAGTACTACTGTTATTGTCGATGTTGCCTTCGTTTTGCCTATCGTCTGCTCTTATGGTTGATGGTCTTGCATTGGCTCTTGCCTGCTGCCTACTACTGCCGCTACCTGTTTCCTACTGTTGCAGCTAACATCCAGCTACTACCACTAACACTACAACCACTACAAATAATATTACTACCACTACCACCATTCCCACTACTACGACTACTACTATTATCAATACCGCTACTACTAAGATTACTATTACTACTTCCACTACTATTACAACCACCACTATTATGAGGACGACTACTACTACTACCACTACCACTACTAATACGATTATGACTGCTACAATCACTATCATTGCTACTACCACTTCCAGCACTTATTCTAACTCTATAAAACTTAACAAGTTATTCAGTTTATATTCAAACAAACAATTATTTCCATAGAACTAAAAACCCCAAGACTATTTCAGAACACTAAATGATTTTTGGACTAAAATGACAAGTAGTTTGCCAAAATTAAGTAATTTTGAAAGCTAAGGTGTCATTTTTGATATTTTTTACAAAATGAAGGTCAATTTGCAACAAAATTGGAATATATTGAGTCGACCAATAAAGAATTTACCGAGTAAGTTTAGCAAATTATCACAACCGCGAATCTTAATTGCTATTAAATTGCCACATCTTAATTTTGGGATACTGCAATTCAATTAAACAAACTTATTGTCCTTTTCTGCTCTTTCTGCTATATAAATCTAAGCTATTTCATCCATTTTTTTATAACTTTATAGTTACATCTATTTCCATAGCTTATACTTGAAGCAGTTGTTCAATTGCAATTAGAAAGGTAAGCCAATCCTTGCTTCAGTTCATAATTATCTTGGTTTTGATTATTTTGTAATTCAATAAGTTCAAGTAATCCTAATTTCGTTTACCATGGTGATAGGTTGGAAGTTGTGCATTCAATATTGGAGATGGTTATGGAAAGTTTTATTGTAAGTATCTACAATCAGACTACTAAAAACTATTTAAAATCTCTACTATTGATATTGCTTAGAAATTGTGATACAAAAACTTGAAAGGCTTGCGGATGTCCACAAAGGTTATGCTATGAACGCTCTTTAAATGCGAAAATTGCTCCATCTGTCCAAAATGTTTCAGGAATGCAACAAGAGTTTTCAAAATTTTGGCCCCTGTATGCAGCATGACTTTGTCGTGTGATAATTAAACTCAAAAAACCTTGACTTTTTATTCGATTTATGTTGGGATTCTTAGGTTTTCTAGCAACAACAATAAATATATGATCTTTACCAAACAAATATTTTATACGATCTCTGTATTCAAAGTCTCAATTACCGTAACTATATTGGATTAGACTAAGAACATTATAAGTTTCTACAGGATGCAAGTAAATAACGTTTCGCTTCTTGCATTTATTGAGAGATTGGAGGTGTGTCATATTATTGGACCTCTTGCTCTTGCTACAGAGGTATGTTTACTCACTCGACCTCCTTCAACATGTACCATTACTATAGAGGATATGATTCATCTAGGTACTCACAAAATCATGCCAAGTAACCACGAGGGTGGTGCATGATTGGTTTGAGCTTGGCAACAAAAGTCAAAAGTACCAGGAGGTCCCAAGTTCAAATCCAAGGAGGAATAAAAATACTCTTGTGGCCACGGAGGTTCAAATACGATGACTCCGGGCTATCTGCAAAACAGATGGTCTAATAACGCCAATGTATATAACTCATAGTTATGATGCACAATTACAACCTATAAGCTAAAAGACTCATTTTTTAAGTCTACCCCAATTCATATGGTTGGTTTGAGAGGTTTGCTCTAATATTTCTTGTTATTCATTTCTTGACGAATGATGCTTTCTAATGTCGATAAAGCATTAAGATTTTTGTTGCACGTAAAAAGATGTTTGATAGAAAATTATAACAATATGGATGTTAATTTACAGAAAATAAAATGATTGATTTTTTTTGATATAACACTACAAGAAAAATGACCTTCAGAGAAGGTATTATTTTGTACTTAAAAGTCTTAAAAGCTTCTCTAAAGCCTTTAGACAAACTTTTCGATTTTGTCAAAGACCTTCTCTATGTGACGGTACGTGAAAGTTTTAGAGAGGGTTTTCGGAGGGTATGTTTTTGTTAGCCTTTAGAGACGCTTAATTGAGGCTTTAGATACACTTTTAAAACTTCTCTAAAKGTTAGTCAACTTTTTATTCAAARCTTCTCTAAAAGTATATATATTAGTGACGCTTTTAAAGTATTTGTGACRGTTTRTAAGAGTTACTAAAAAATRCTTTTAGAGAAGGTAATGGAAAAGCTTCTCTAAAAATATTGGCTTTAGTGACACTTTTAAAAAATCTTCTCTAAAAGTCCTCGTTAGTTACACTTACAAAATCTTCTCTAAATATGATATTTAGATACACAAACTCAAAATCTTCTCTAAAAATTATCTTTAGTTACACTTTTAAAAAATCAA